GCGCACGGAACAAACCTACAAACAAACATTTATTTATATATATTCTATATTGACATTAATATGCATTGACCTACCAACAAATTTTTTCTGAGGTCAAAAATTTGCTGATAGGTCAATGTTAATATGGTAATATTCTCTCTTTTTAAAGTGTTACTGCTCCACCGACACAAGCGATGATTCCGCCTTAAGTTAAGTAAAATACGCATTTATTACTCAGAATTTAACTGGTGAATTTCGGTAATAAAGATAATAATTATCCGTTGATTTTATCGTTGAAGTAAAAAATGAGCCATGAGTACGCTAGTACATAGATATAGTTGCCTAATGATGAAACATTTGATTTTTCTTTTTCTTTTTTATAAAATATAAGTGCGCATTTGACCTCCATCTCACCTGATGGAAAGTGACGATGAGGTCGACGATGGAGCATACACATCTAAATAATGCCTATTCACTCTCGCCTTGAAAATGCCCAAGTTATAACGTTCAGGAAACAAGTCTGCAGGCAGGAAATTCTACTCCATAGCCGTTCGCCATATAAATGTAGAACGCGTTACGCTTCGTGCGAATCTTTGGAATATCCACAATATAGAGGTGGAACCCAAGCCTACGCGTAGTCCCCCGGTGATGGAAAGGGGATTATCGACTGAAAGACCTTTTGTTGGATAATGCATATTATTCCCTTGAAGAATATAGGGACATGATTTTATAATATACGTTATAATTTATTACGTTATTAGGTATAAATATTACTTTACAGAAATGGATAATTACGTAAACATAATGCATACATAATTTAGCATTATTTTGACATTATTATCATTATGTTATTTAATGTGCATTGTACTATGTTAAAATTACGATTAATTTATCATATCATTTAGGTACATAACTTGTATGGGATATTTGTATTTTTTTTTTAAGTAACATTCATTGTAATGCTGTCTACTAACTTAAACGCTGCTAAGTGATGAAATATTTTTTTGAGATATCATAATAAACCATAACCCCGTTTTGTACTATTGAAATAATTGAATGATATTTCAGCTATGCATCATTAGGGTATGTTCCGATAAATCGAACACGTTAACTAATTTTAACTGTTTTTAAAAGGGAATTTTTACACCAACTTTATTTTTATATTTAACTGCCTCTGTGGCCGAACGGTTACCATGCCGGACTGCCACGCAGAGGTCCCAGGTTCGATTCCCGGGCCGGGAGAAATATTTGTATGACCTACATTTGTTTCTCTCGTGAGTTTGGGTGTAATTTGTGGTTGTCTATATGTGTGTCCATGGCACCCGCGACACAGGGTTTCCCTAGTGCGGGGCTATGTTGAGTGTGTGTGTTATTATTATTATTATTATTATTATTATTATATATTTTATTTATTTTTACTTTTAAATAAGTTTACACCAACCATATCTATGTACCGTTTTCATCCTTTATTGGGAAGGCTAAGATTCTACCATGCAGCCTCTTCATATGTATGTTAGTATCTGTTCCTTGTTTTGATAATGTTTTGATAATATAAATCTAAGGTTTAAATTAAAAGACTTCTTTAAAAAAATCTGCTAAAACGCAATTCAAGAAGAGCCATTATTATAATTGAGGCTATCAGCGCAATAGAGGTGTAACCCACATTCAATTTTTTTTCTAAAATATTGCTTTAAATTATACTAAAGTACATAATTATTTTATATTTGGATGTTATTTTGATATGCAAAAAATATGTAATATAATTATTAATACAAAGATCGACCACTTAGAAAAAATCCTTCGATCCGACTGGATTCGAACCAACGTCTTCCAGCAAACCGTGCCAGACGCTATGCCAACCAAGCGCATAGCAAACTAGTGGAGTAATTTCACAAAAATAATTATAGCATGGTGACTTTCAATAACTTAAAAATATGTAATAATTATTTTTTATATACAAGATAACGACTAATCACAAAACATAATAATTGTAACTTTTTCATTGAAAACGGTCGGTTTTTGTTTCCAACGTTTGCTTTTTTCGATTCCCATGGGATCCCCTCATCAGATTCTGACTTCTTGGTGACAAATGGGACTGTTACGGACTCCTTTGTACATTTTATACTTTTTTCTGGTTGCCATGGTAACGGTGATGTTTATTACATGTCAAGTGAAAAGGTGATTCGCTCTGGACCTTTTGGAGGGAAAAGTGTCGTTTTTATTTTGACTTTGAATTATTTTGTGAAATCTAGTTTAAAGTGGAATAGGATAGTGCTATTGTGCCTTAATCGAAGATTAAAACGCGAAATTATACGAATCTCGAACTAAAATACCCGCGTATCGGCCCGTTCTAAGGAATCCCGAGTCAATCCAAGCACGCCGCCTCAAATTGCCTATCCTCTTTGTGGCGGCCATATTTACAGAAAAACTTATTTTTATGTTTTCGGCTGAAGGACTTTGTTTCCATGGCCAGAAATAAATTAATAAATAAAATAATCAAGTGAAAAGTCGACTTTGATTTGCGGAAAATAATTTGAAATTTGTGATAGCCGAGACGATCCCGGAACAGCTCCGTCGGCATCAGGGAGCACTTCGAGAGTTATACCCTTTCCAACAAAAAAGAATTTTCAAAATCGGTCCACAACCGATGGAGAAATCGGTGAGTACACTGCCATGCTTATAAAATTTGAGGATTTTCCTCGATTTCCATGGGATCCCCTCATCAGAATCTGACTTGGTCCACAATTGACGGAGAAATCGGAAAACATACATACAGCCGAAAGTATAACCTCCTCCTTTTTTAAAATCAGTTAAAAATACCATCCAAATAAGAAATAATTATGTACTTTACTATCATTTGAATTTTAGAACGGCTTTTTTGATATTATGTACAAATTAAAGTCTTAATTAGTATTGTATATTTTGCCACAGTTACTCAACCAGTGACGTGATTGGAGTAATTTGACAGCTTGGAGAAGACATAATTATCTTTGATTATTGCCAGCACTGCTAGTGACTAGTTCTAAAGCTGCTGTCCTATATACAGTAAATTATATGTCGAGCGTCATCCAAGTTATTTCTAAAGAAGACATAACAAAAAGGTTTCTGACAGTTCCAAGAAGAGAGTCCTTTATAGTTAGTGGAAATCGTAAACTAAAATAATACGTGGCTTGTAAACTGATTCGACGAAAGATACATTTAAATTTTTGGAGACTTTGGTGACAGTTCTGTTTAATATAGTTTTATATGAGATTTGTTTGCAAGTAGCCTTTTTTCAAAAGATTTTTCTTAAATGTGACACTACCGCTTATTTACATATTAGCAAAGGCATAATCGGCCATAGGTCATAACCACCCTCAATAATAAAACGACATAATTCAAAAAGTAAAACTTTTATTAAACTCACAAATATTTAAAAAAATGGAAATGAAACTTTTTTTGGGTCTAAATCGCGTATATTTGTTTTTTGAAACAAATCAAAGATTCAGTCCCCTTTGAACGTCCCATGACTGTGGCTGACGGAGATGGATGCCTAATATCGTAGAATAATAACGCATAGAATGATAGTTTCATATCAAACGAACTGTCACAAGTGAGGCAAAAATCAAATTCATGTAGGCTAGTTTTAGAAGTAGGTTAATTTTCGGCTTTAGTCAATATTTATATAAAAATACAAGTTGAAACGCGTTACTTCCTTGTGGAATGTGATGTTAGTACCTATTTTATGTTTGTCTAACGTATTTTTACACTCATTTACCGCACATTTCGTCATTTTTAGCTAAAATTCTTGATCTGTTCGCGGTGCAAGTTGACCTTGAGCACTGAAGGCCCCCCCGCTCGTGTAGGCCCTTTTGGCGCGCTTCAATTTGCCTCACTTAGCGTGAGCGGACTAGGTTTCTATGCGTTATTATTCTAAGCCTAATATTAATCCATATCCCTCTATTTGTCTAAGAATCTAAGAGAAAACTAAATACATAACAAAGTCAAAATTGTCATTTGGCTTTGGTGCCAATTTGGACTAATTTTATTTAAACCTATTTTGTCAGTTTACCAACAAGTTTACTTTTTCATTTCGACACTTTGTTATTGAGGATGCAATAAGATTTAATATCACTTGTCCCTGTGATAGTGAAGTTTCTTCAAAAATAAGTAATTGCAATAATGTTGCGATTACCGACAGACGGGATTACAGTAAGATAAAACTGTATTAATATCTTATAATTGTTATTATAAGATATTAATACAGTATTGTGTGTAGTTACAGGTGTCAATCAAATTAAATCGGACTTGGAAGGATCAAAGAACAGCCGACCGGTCTGATTGAGCAATCTTCTAATATAGCATAATAAAACGAGTATGGTAACTCCATACATACGTAGCAGAGCGGCTTGTATGTGTGCACGCCTGCTGCGCGCCGTGTACGGACACATACATTCGCATAATCTCGCAATGCACTCGCGTTGCATAATGCGGAGCGCCACACGCGCCATTAATTGAGGCATTCGCTATTTAAAAAATTTCATCAATAAGTACCTGGACGTATTTATCGTTGTTTTTATGATTGTTTGAACGAGAGTGCATCAAATTCAGAATTGTTCAAAATTTAATTTCTATTTCATAATCATACTACCTTGATCGAGGTACGTACCAATCAGCAATACTGGTATAAAAATATCAATACGTAAGTACCTAATGCATTTAACAAATTTATTTGTATACCGCACGAGATTACCGTGATGAAACAAATTACGTTTCAACCTGTAGAACTTGTACAACTAAAATTATAATGTAACAACCCTGCACTACGCCATAAACAACACGGAACAACAAACTAAGTTTATTTTTTTTACTTTTAAATTCCAACACGTTTTCACTCGACCATTCGACATTTTCTTAAGCCTTCATATAAAAAAATATGCTCAGAATTGACACCGTGCTGTATGACACAACTTACAAAATATACACTTTTTATTATTTACGAAAAAGTAATATGTGGATGTAGATAAAATAAGGTTACTCACCTGATCATTTTGTAGAGAATTCGTCCTCGCTACCTCTCTTCTCAGTTGTATTATCACTCGCTCTTTCGATTTTATTTCCTCCAGCTGCAAACATTTGACGAACATTAATAGGCTGTTCACAAGTGCCTAGCAGTCAAAATAAATTATTTCAGCAGTAAAATAAATTGCTATGAAATTTTTATAGGCGTTCAACGGTACAAAATATTTCGCATAGTTTGTCTCGTTAGGGTAGCCTGATGTAACGGGTATTCTCACTTTTTGCCGGCTTAAACCATATTACATAAAAGATGATGTTAGAAATAATATGTTTTCTTTAAACTTATTTGAACCTATGACCTGACCACTAAATTAGAAAATAATTTTGATAATAATTGAGACAGAGACGACATAACCTATGGACACGGAGCTTGGCTCACTACATTGCTATAGTATTTTAGGTAGGCGCTTTATATTCACTAATATTATTTTGCTCAAACTTCCTCCACATTACTTTACACTAAAACATTGTTCAACTGAATACCACTACAAAACATTATTTTTAAATTTTCGGCACTCACTGGGGATTTGGAACAGTATCTCCAATCTAAAGAATGACGCTACTGCCTGTTCTTGTACAGTCCTTTGTCAGATTTTATCACGACTAGGGACTTTTTATAACGCCCTTTTTGCGAGGCTCCTAACACAGGATGAGCTGATTTATAAAATTAACTTTGACTTTGACTAAGCAAAAATGGCGAGTTAAGCAAGATTTTCGTACGTACAAAACGGGTTTTGCTGTAAGCTTAAGCAAAGAGTTAAATTAATCTTGTGATGGGTGTTTGTAACCATCGTAGTTTTATTTCCATGACTTTGAAAAGAAAAATGTATACTTCAGTGTCAGTATGAAGATGTTTATTATTGTTTTGGCACTCACAACAAATATTTAGTTCACAGTACAAAAGTTTATAATCGAAAACGTGTCAGCAGAACAATTCGCTCGCGCCATAATAAGCCTGCCGGTTTAGTGGCGAGCTGCGATGCGAACCGAAGGAAGGGTTCTTCTCTTCCTCCTCCTCCTCCTCCTTATCGCAAGTTCATTTTGTAAATAAGAAAAATTTGCTTAACTCGCTGCCGTTTTTACTTAGTCAAAATCTAAGTTCATTTTATAAATCTCAGCCTAGATATATGACATATTCCACTTCCATGACATTTCAATAAGTAGGTATTTATATTTTCTAGACGATAAACATAAAAAACTTTTTATTAAGAAACGCAAAAGGAAACTTGACACCTTCTTTATAAGAATTCAATAAACCTTAGCCGTCTACCAAACGAAGATCTGAACCGCTATAAGCGCCTACAAATGAAGATAATGAGAAACATGAAACTGTGAGACAAAATTGTCTAGGTATTTTAAATGCACATAATAGACAACATCACAGACCAATCGTACAGGCACTTCATAAAAACCCTTCTTATTCAGGTTACGGTAGTAGTAGCTCAATATTATTTTACAACACCATTAATGTACGTAGGCTAGACAATGTCATCCTTTTGTTTTATGGTATCAATCGACAGGACGTACAGTCAAGAGCACGTCAAGCTTGACACTTTGTACTTTGGACCGTTCTTATCATAAGCGGCATAGAGTTGGATTTAAATCTAAAGTGTCAAGCTTGACGTGCTATTGACCCTGTACAAGTCATGCGCCTGGTGGTATATCTAGTCCACTGTGTGCTAACATGTGGCAGTGTCACTCAGAGGTTTAAACTGCAAAGATTTGAGGGGCAGGGGCTTCGTCTGTCACCTTGAGACATAAGTCCAATGTGCCTGTAATTTCACCAGCACCGTTTACCCTCCAAAAGTGGAACGAAGTAATGTGAGCATTACATCTTGGCGGCAGAAATAGGTAAGGTGGTAATACCCTTAACGAACTCGTTCACAAGAAGTTCTGTTACTAAAATTCAAATGTAGGTACCTAGTTGTTTAGCTGGAAGCCATCTGGAAGCGAGTGGGAATACACTTTTTATGATGACAATTAAAAATATACCCACGCTATAGTACAATAAGACCCACACTTCAGTAAATAGGTAACTTAATCAAGTTAAGGACATCAAACATTAAAGATCGCATTCATGGCTCTGACGTCACCACATACCAAAAAGCCATGAATGCGATCTTTAATCTGTGTTGTATATTTAGCAAATGCACGTAATAACAATTGATTAACGACATCGTGAACGAGTTCATTATTTGAATAGACTACTCAAGATATTTAAAGAAAGTGTACGATAAACATAAAATCAAAGCAAATGGACTGTCAACCAGATTAAAGTGTTGTTTGCGTTGGACAGATAAAAGACTTCAGAACTGTGTATCTAACGCAATGACGTTGACATCCTTTGTACGCCTATGACCTTGGAGGGATATCAAGCATATCAAGGGTTCGGCATTCGTACGTGCAATGTATTCTTAGGCGTGCCGAAACATACCGTCGCGACGAAACGAAGTCTTCAGCCCAATTCTGCTAATTTTTTTGAATCCACTGGTCATTGTAATTTCATTGATTTGCTAGTTCAATGTCTAGTCTAGTCTAATGTCTAGTTGCAATGGCCGTTGAGTCTCAGTGGAAAGTCAGTGATAGATATTCACACATTCAATGAAGTACTAAATAATTTTTGTCTCGTTTAAACAGCAATTTAGTCTTCAAATTAAATATGTTATATAATATTAATACACTACGCCATGGATGTGCCATCGACTCGCCATTGAAAGAGAAAAATATCAAAAAATTGCGATGGCAGTTGAATAGTAGCTCGATGGCTAGGCACTGACAAGCCCTATATCTATGGACAAGCCACTTATCTTAACAGAGAACACTAAACGTACATAATTCTGCCATTATCCTATCATATCGACACACAATTGGAGGTGATTGAAAATTAGCAGACTTGGGTCCAGATCAGTCGAAACACTGCAAGCTGAATTACAAACAGACAGACGGGGTAATTTTTAATTGGTTTTGCAAAAAATATAATAATAAGTACATACCAGCTTACGGCACTGTGCACGCGCATCTCTACGCGCGGCTTGTTCCAACGCCTCGTGCTTGGCGGCCTGGGCACGCAGCTCCGCCGCTCGGGCGCATTCTGCCCCTTGAGCAACCTGTAATCATTATCACGTAGTTTACAACATGGTAATACCATCCATCCCAATAGGATGAACTCTAGGTAGATGAACTTGATTCCTACTATATCTTTCTAATTTGTGAGTTAAATCAACCATTGCATTGTTCCGATTAGAAACGTCAAAAGTTTCCGATAGGATAATTGTGAATCGCAATTATGCGCCTCGACTCGGAAAATCTCATTTATAAATCTAACTCGTCACATCATCATGTCCCTCTGGGTCTCCGACATTATTAGGGTTGTCATGACTTTATATTGTTAAGAACCTTTCCTCCTGATTAAATGGAATTTACACATCAACTTTCTCCGAAAAACTGTGTCGTCAACACTCCTAAAAATGCATTTGTAACAAACTTTTTGAATGACTCCCTCGGCTCAATGCCAATGCACATGGCCTTCCGCAATCCAATGATGATGTCACTCAGATACAAATACGCATTACGTCAAATTCCCAATGTGGCAGGACGCTGGATAATTCGAACGCGAAACTGAATCTATTATAGAGAAACACACAGACATACCGAGTAGAGCTAGGTCACTGACCTACAAGAGCAAGTTCGCCTGTTGAGCGGTATTATACCTTATACATTTATGCTAGTTGGTGTTGGACCATGGACTTTATCTTTTTGACATATCCCCAATGCGCCGGAACCGTTTTGCTGTCACTTTTCTGAAAAGGTCAATGGAATCCACAACCTGTTGACTCATTTCCCGACAAACATAACTTGGACTTTTCCAATGTGAGATTCAATCGATGGCCTATCTCACATCGTGCCCTGCGTGCCCTTACACCTGCATGCTTCAAATGTTAATGGCAGCTACTAGTGAATTCTGGGCCACAATAGTAATAGAGTATGCTATCAATATGTTAAGATAGGCAAGCAAACTCTATCCTCGACCACCTTTAATTTCGCCGCTATGTAAGTTACGACTATTGCCTATGCTAAATAAAAAAGTAACATCAGGTGCCCTTCCAAGCACGAAATCTGTGGTTACGGCCGTTTTCCCTCTATGGATGACCTACGGGACTACTCTCGAAGTGCGTTAACGAAAAGACGGGCCCGTTGGAAACAGTCAAACGGGCCGTCGGAAACAGTCAAACGACCCCTTGGAAACAGTCAAACGGTCCGTTGGAAACAGCCGAACGGCCCGTTGAAAACTGTCAAATCCCGTTGTCATACATTCTTAGTTCTAGCGCCGATCGAAAGTCAATTCTGTAAGTCATCCATAGTGGGAAAACGACAGTCTACGTGGGTTTCGTGCTTCAAGAGTAGGTCCCCTAGACACTCACAATATCAAACAAAAATTACTCGTCTTCTCGTCCGCAATACCGCAGTCCTTGAAGACAAAAGTCTTCGAGCAGTGCGTGTTGCCAGCGATTATCTACGGCTCTGAGACGTAGTCACTTACTATGAGCCTCATAAAAAAGCTCAAAGTTACTCAACGAACTATGGAGCGAGTAATGCTCGGCATTTCTCTACGTGATCGAATCAGAAATGAGGAGATCCGTAGAAGAACGAAAGTCACCGACATGGCTCGAACGATTAGCAAGTTGAAGTGGCAGTGGGCAGAGCACATAGCTCTTAGAACTGACGGCCGTTGGGGCAGAAAGCTTCTTGAATGGAGACCACGAACCGGAAGGGGTTCAGTGGGACGGCCCACTAGATGCCCCTACTAGCTGGGCGGATGACCTGGTAAGGGCGGCGGGTAACCGATGGATGCACGTCGTGTCCGATCGGCTGGTCTGGAAATCTTTGATTTTCTTTGGGATTTTGATTCTTGATTTGATTCTTGGGGAGGAGGAGGATTCTGATATGATGAAGGTCTGTCTTTTTACACGTTTTTTATTCACGAGGCCTGTACCCCATCTACGATTGGGTCGGGCTCGACCTGCGGCACGTGGTTGGGTTTAGATTACGGGGTGTGCGTGCTCTTCGGTAGCACAGCAGTTAGTACTATGGTCGCTTGATGAGGAGATTCCGAGTTCGGTCCCCGATTTGGGCCAATTTAGGAAACAAACATTTCTAAGTTGGTTCTGTCTGGGTATTGCCCTCAGATTTATCGTCATACTGGTGTTCATAGTACAGGAAATTCCCTAATTTGAGCCAAGAAATTTTGAGTGATTATCTGGTTTGGTGTACCTAAATACTTCTCTTTGGCATAGCTTCCAAGAAAAAGCACTGTAACAGTAACGGTCATGTAACAGAGACGGTCGAGATACAACTACGTTATAAGTATCTCATATCCTGCATTAGGAAGTATGCCTTACATTTCTAACAATTGTGAGATCTTGTACTCGTAACAGAGCCTCGGGCTTCGCCCTCCGCTGGATCTTGGCATAAGGCCTCGGTATTTATGACTTCATTTAAAAAATTAAAAGCTCTTTATATTTTTAAATATGGCAGCCATATTAAAAATTGTAAAAATATATATTTTTACCACAAATTATTGCCAGGCAGTCCTAGAAATCTTTTCGTGTTAATTTTGAGCTCGAGCAAAGCAAGTTTTTTCAACAGCCATTTCTATCGAAAAAAGTACGCTTATTTAACGGCCATATAGGAAAACGGTGGAAACAAAATTTTAACCCTAAATTATGATGCCGATTTTTAGTCGGATTAGAAGGTTTTTTTCAGCCGTTTCTTACCTATCCGACCACGACTCCCAGGCACCATTTTGAACCACCACGACTCCCTCTGGGAGAACGATTATCTAAATGACTATATAAAACAGTCAGTGGTAATCGAACCATATAATTATAGATATAAGACCATTACTTCCGTCAATTATAGTATAACAGTTAGTATTATAAAGTACTTTTACTAAGTTATTACACTCTAGAGCCGCGGTGCTATTTAACGCTGGTGCAATTAAGGGAAGTCCATAATTAACGTACTTTTATGAAGCAAATAATGGAAGCAATATGTGCCTAATGATTACCGCGCCCCGCAGTTGGTATCCACACGTTTGAACCATCCACACGCATCATGATGTCATCTAAAAAATTGGTCAAGATCCTTTGCATATTATTCTATATGCAATGTTCCACGAGTTTACACCCACAAAGTGCCATGTATCAAGAAATTTTTACCTATTACAACGAAACGGCAAGTAAAGCTGAATTCGCGTACAACGTTGTTGAGAAGTTCTACAATGCATTCGAACAATTGTTTTTTACAATAATTTTTTGTAACTTAACATATTTTGAAAACAGGATTCTCAAATACATGGAAACGAAGGATTGTGGTTATCCCGTCTTGGTTATTAGTGGATGTGCATCGCCAGCCTCTACTAAAGTCAAGCCTAAAATTGATAAGCATGGAGCAACCACATACATTATTACATCTGAAGAACTTTCCTCAGAAGTCGATGACGACGTCATCGGAGTTCTGATTAGAACCAGAGTCTTTAAACCAAGAAGCCCTCTTATATTCGTCGTAAACCTCCCAGTCAACGTGGACAGCTACTTTTACTACGACATGAAAAGACACTTCCAACTGCTTTGGAGTAGAAGTGTCACCCATTCTATATTGATTGTGTGGGACGAAAAATTAAGAATGTATACATACAATCCATTCCTTAAGGAAGTTAAAGATATCACTGATGTAAAGAACGTTGAGAGTTACCTGAGTCGACAATATTACAATCTCAACGGCCATCAGTTGCGTTTAAGCGTATTCAGACAAATATATTTATCAAATAAAACGGGGCCAGTAAAATGTGACTCGATATTAGCCAAAGCAATTATATCTTCTTTAAACGCATCTTGTTTACCACTGATGCCCAGAGATGGAATCACCGTTGGAGAGCTATTGGATAACGGAACAGCAACCGGGGTCACAGGCGATCTCATAGACGGATACACCGATCTAGAGCTAAATTCAAGAATACTTAGACCATCATACCATGGATATATTGACACGACATATCCCCTAACCAATAACGAGATGTGTTTCTTGGTTAAAAAAGCTGAAAAACAATCAACTTTTACATCAGTCCTGCATTTGATATCGTCAAATATCCTTGTGTTGATCTTGTCTAATGTAGTTATATTAATAACTATTGCCATTGTAGCTCGAAAGTTGGAAACGCATATTTTGGGTCAGAATCACCAGACCAGTGGATCGACGCTAATGGACTTGGTAAAATGCTTTCTGAAACAGACAGCAGATATAAAATTTTTAGGACCAGTATTCAGATTTTTAATATTTATGATTATTAGTTACTCCCTGGTTATTAACAGCGTGATTGATGTAAGTTATCAACGCTTTATTTTTACCATAAGTTTTTTTAAATTTTTTATTATGCCGCTGCGTTTTTGTTTCAGGGCATCATCTACTCAGCTGTAACTTATCCCCGACAGAAATCAGATATTAATACTTTAAAACAGTTATATGAAACAAATTTAACGCTTGGTGTCCATAACAGACACATAAACATTTTTAAAAACAGCTTGACAGAATCTAGCAATAAACTAATATTGAAACGCACAGAAGTAATCAACGATAACAAAATCAAAGAAGTTTTAGAAAAGAGAAAATTTGAATATGCCTTATTGTTAAGAAAAACAGAAACGCATTACATAAGCAGAAATCCTTCAAATATGGCGCAAGGAAGGCCCATATTTCACAGAGTTTTACAATGTCCAATAACATGTTCAATCGTATACGGTTTGCGGTATGGTAGCCCATATCTTCCAAGGATAAATTACATATTACACCACTTAAACCAAGCTGGGATTTTGCAGTATTGGTCGAAAACTGACGATCTGAATGAAAACCGACATTTTGACGAACTAACACACAGTAGCAATAAGGACAGAAAGGCATTGGGAATGAATAACCTGAAAGAAGCTTTTTACTGTTGGTTGTTCGGATTACTTTTAAGTTGTCTTGCATTTTTCATCGAAATACTTTGGAGTAATTGTCAGACTAGATTGTCGATAGTTTAAAGAAGAAGTTTGATCACCTTGAGTTTTTCTTGAAGACCCTTGTTTGCTGTTTTTAAAGACTGAATCTCTGTTGTTAGTTTTTTTAGTTCTATTAGTTTATGGTTTCCATACGCTTGTTCCTCTTTTTCTGGTTTCATACAACGTAATTGTTTTTCTAAGAACTCTTCTTGTTTCTTGTGTTCAGTCTTGAGGTTGCGTAATGTGGATTCCTGCTGGGCCTTTAGCGCTCGGATCTCGCTCCGCTCGACATCGAGCGATTTCCTCAAGGTCGCATTTTCAAGTCTTAACCTTTCGACGAGCATTTTCAACTTGTTCAAGAATGCCTCGTCCACGGTTCGCTTGTGCTCTTCTGGAGCTGCGGCGGTGATAGTGCTGGAGGTCGAAGTGTCGGTGGACGCCATGTTTGACGTCACCGATGTCGTAGTTCGGGAGTGTCCCGGTCGTCCGCGGTCTTTGGTCTCGTACTGTGTACGATTCGCCGTTTCGCGAAGTTTCGGCTTTGATGCGTTGCTAATTCTGAAATGAGAAAATAACCACGATTAATACCAAAGTATTTAACGTTTATTCATGTTTGAAAATATTTAGGGTAAAATATATATTTAGAGTAGTTTGTATTTGTGCAATTGGGCAATAACATAGGTCCAGTTCTGGTTGTAATGTAATGTTTATCACTAATATTGAACTGTTTCTTTTAACTACGTCTGGTGTGTACAAAAATAAAATTAAACCATATAACATCACGATTTGTTTACATTTCATTCGAATACTCATTTTGAACAGTACCAGTAGTTGCAACATCTAGAGTAAAATATGACTAGCATAATCCAGATTATCCTTTTCAAACCGTTAAACGAAATATAGATTATTTAAAGCTGGGATTATGTTTCCAAGTGAGTCATGGCATGTAGAAAATGAGATGTAGAAAAAGAGTTGAATCGTCAAAGACAATTCTTTATTAAACCAAACACCCATTTAATTCATGGTAATGATAAACAATTAAATATTTATCTATCACAAGGAGCTCTAGTCGTACTAAACTAAACGTGTACCAAAGATAGAACGGTGGTAACCCAGTGGGAGTAGACGCTTTGCATCTACAGAGATTGGCACCACAAGGTGGCGTATTTAGATAATATGGTTTAAATTCATGCCTAAATTTCGTTTATATATTTTTAACCGATGTAAAGGTATGTAGAGGCAAAGATGGTAGTTAATGCTCACATTACCTCTTGGCGGCAGAAATAGGTAATGTGGCAGTACTTACCTGGACGAACTCTTTCACAAGGAGCTCTACTGCTACTAAACACATACTGACATGTTTAAGTTTTATTTTGAGTTGGACACATAGATTATTATGAAAACCGAACGTCTGCACATAATATCTCTGGCTAATTCCTAAAAATAAATCCGTAAAGTGATAGCAAATTCCATATTGCCGACTGCGAAAGCCGACGCCTCGTATAATTTTGTTGGCCCCAAATAGCTTCACAGTATAAATAAATTATGCAGTACATTAAGTTTGTGCATGCTATACATTAATTCCATTTGTGGAAATGCAATGATTGATTGATAGTTTTTAAACATGCTATGCATAGATAAATATTGCAAGTCGTTCACTCCACTCATTATATATTTTGTTATATCGAGTTCTTAGGTTTTCGCGATTGTTACACATAGGAAATGAAACTATTTTTCCGGATTTAAATCGCCTATATTTGTTTTTTCAAACAAACGGACTTTTCGGGCCCTTTACAGGTCCCATGTCATACAGTCAACCGTGACCATGGGACTTGTAAAGGGCCCGAAACCTCGGTTTGTTTGATAAAACAAATATACGCGATTTAAATCCGGAAAAATAGTTTCATTTCCTATATATTTTGTTAACAAGACATGTGTCTGATGGTAAGCGACACACGTGTGCAATTGCAGTGCCACTCAGAGCTTTAAATCACAAAGATCTGAGGGGTACTGCCACTACGCCTCAGATCTGTGGCATAAGGTGATAAATCCCAAGAGCTCACATCACTGCTTGTCAATATCACCACGGGTAGTGCTGCCTACAAAGGCAGCGTATCTGGAATTATCCTTAAATACTTTGGAGATGATATGTAAACTCAACTTCACCCGTGGTAAATAAAAAAATAAAATATATACAAAAATGAACCTTACAAAGTATTTGTTTCATCTTTTGTTATAATAAGTGTTAACATCAGTTATTTACAGTAGAATTAAACACCTATCACCCTCGCAAGATTGCCATTTTACAGATAATAGTTATCAATTGACAGGTGACATATATATAGATTTAAAGAAAATTGGCAGCGGTAATGGAAAACATAAATAGAGCACACAATTCTCTTTTAAAAACAGTTGAAATTAGTTAACGTGTTCGATTTATTGGAACTTACCCTGACCCTGCCTGAAATATCATTCAATAATTTCAATATTCTAAAACAGGGGCTTTTTATGATATCTCAAAAAAATATTTTGTCACTTAGCCCCATTGTAGTTACCGGACGGCAGTCTTGCGATTTGTGTGAATATAGATTGTGTTCATCTTTCCACAAGAAATAGTTTTTTGAGATTGTATTAATAAATTTTAATATTGTGTTTCAAATAAGAAAATATGATTTGATAATATTCTGTTTGTACATGCACATATTTTAAAAACAATAAAAAATGCTAGATGCATAAATTTCGACTTATTGTAACTTACCCTAACGATGCGTAGCTGAAATATCATTAAACAATTACAATATTCTGTAAGCGGGGTTATGGTTCTTGTGATATTTCAAAAAAATATCTTGTCATTTAGCCGCGCTTTTAGTTATCGGACGGCAGATATGCGTCCCTATAAGTCGTTTATTACAGTTCGTCTGTTTAATTGTAATTAAACCTTATTTTATAATTTTATCAAATTAAATATATATACACGTTCTTATTTTGTCACATTGACTTACAAATAAATGCACGACGGGTCTAATACAAAAACCACGAAAAAAATGTCCCAAGTCAACCTATTTAAACGTAGTGACATGTAAAGGAATATGAAAAAGCTAAAACGTTGAATTTAAATTGTAATGTCATCGCAGTACTGTCTAATTTTGCTTGCTTCGCTGTCAGTCGAACAAACGAAGACTAAAGCGTGAATGACTCTCTGTATACGATTTTAACGCCCCATAAGTTCGGACACTTTTTAGCGCGGACCCAACGTCCATATAATTGTAAGTCAATGTTTTGTCATATTAATTTCAATTCAATCTTTTTTTTTCTATTTTTTTCACCACTTGTTATCACTTTGTAGCACTTTTAGTGGGACGACATTAAGGTGAGTGGATGACGGATTCCGTAATAGCATAGCGCACAGTCCATATTCCAATTTTAGTACTCAGGTAGTTTATTTATTTATTCATAAGCAGAATTAATTATTAATAAATCTTTGTATTGTATTATATGTCAAATCATATAATGTGTGTGTACAGGCTCTTTCTTTCTTTCAATTTAAATAGTATCAAGAATTTATTTCCCGAATTGATATAATTATCATAGTTTTTTCACTTGGTTAGGTTACTTAACCGGTAAGCCCGCAAAATCTTTCAACACGTAGTTTATTAGCAGCGTTTTATATTTGCCCATCGCTACGTAAATTGCGATAAAAATAGTGCACTGCAGTTCATTTACCCTCGGTGCTTTGGCTCGAATTTATTTCGCCACGATCGAGCTCGTGCGAGAAGCTAGGTACAGGCTTCAAAACTTCTTTTCATACGATGGACTTAGACGAAAACAATCGACTACTTTTATATTTCGGCCATTCTCACATTCGGTGTTCTCAACGTAATTGCCGTAGTCATTTCGGTGTTCTGTGCCTAATTACCGTAGCCACTGTTTTTTCTCGCTTAATATACCCAATAACATTGAAATATGAAAACTTTAAGCTAAACTATCAATTTGTCTGAATGGCATTAGAATAGACAAAGTAGTTTTCAAGTTATTAAGATACAAATATTTTATGGAAACGGTAATTAGATCGAATTACCGTAGCCATGGATACGGTAATTTGTAAGTTCAATAATTTTTAAGAAAACATAAAAACAAAAATTATAAAGAACAACAGCGTAGAAAACACTTATATTTTGATTTTCTACACTTTTTATAATGAATATATCCGATAGAAAATATTTTGTAATTCCTTTTTAACACTTTTATCGGCAGAAGTAATCAAAATGTAAATTATTACACTATTCTTATAACAACTGTGATTAATTATAAGACAGAATTGGAGTAAATTTTAATCATTACCACTACCCAATTATTTAAAAAAGACTATTTCAAATTTATTCAAAAAATTCTTGAATGGCACTTGTATCAATAGAAATAAATCAAATGTAGCAAAATATACAAATAATAATTCAGCTGTGTCAGAAATAGTCAGATTTTCTCAAAAATGTTTGATTAGCGTTTCCATAAAATATTTGTGTCTTGATAATTCGAAAACTACTTTGTTTATTCTAATGCCTTTTAAACATATTGATAGTTTAGCTTAAAGTTTTCATATCTCAATGTTATTAGGTATAATACGCGAAAAAAAAACAATGGCTACGGTAATTAGGCCGAGATCACCGAAATGGTTACGGTAAGTTGGCTGAGAACAGCGAATGTGAGAACGGCTGATTTAACCCAATTACAAATCCATGGTACGTGAAAAGGGCCTCCCCGCACGACGTACCTTTCCTGTACGTGTGTATGGTGTACCCTGGGCATCAATCGGCGAGTACCTTACGCAAATCGGCAAAATCGTTCAACACGATGGCAAACATTCCAATGCACGTCATCGATACTATAAGAAGAAGATTACAAATCTGTAGCTCAGGTACCAGACTGATTCTTCATAATTCCTATTTGTAGGAAGATTATGGGATACGTAGTGACAAGAATTAAAAGTTGTATGAGAAATGTAGTTGATGTATGTGAAGCTAAAAAGTCGGGTCAGAATAGAATATTTGTATCCAAACACATATAACCCGAAGCGGATCATGACGAGTCCTCCTATAACCAACCACCACAGCTCTTTTTTTAACCGGTTGCAAAAGAAGGAAGTTCTCAATACGATTACTTTTTTTTGTGTGTATGTTACTCGATTTCTCCGGCATTTGAGAACCGATTTTGATGATTTTTCTTTGTTAGACTGAGGTTACCTCAGCATTGATCACATTTAAATTTGAAAAATATTACACTTCTAAGGGTGGCAAACTAGGGGATGAATCCGAATTTCGCACACTTTCCAGTAACCTATTCGTTGGCAAATAGATGTAATTCCACGAACTTTTGAGATGGGTTTTTTAACCGACTTCAAAAAAGGAGGAGGTTCTCAATTCGACTGTATGTTTTTTTTTTGTATGTAGATATGTTACGCAATAACTCCGGTATTTGTGAACCGATTTTCATGATTCTTTTTTTGTAGGAAAGGGGGTCCATAGTGGTCCCGTTTCATTTTGAAGGAAATCACCTCTAAGGGT